AATCGAGGTCCATCCGACTTCGAAGACTTCGGAACGCCACCTCTAATCTACCAACCAAACGCTATCCCGCAGAACCGGGACTAGCACCAAATCTACGACTCTAACTACTGGTGGTCTTCATCGTCGCCGTCGACGCCTGAACGCCACCCAAATATCTTCTCGGTCGCCGGCCGCCGCGCGAAACTCCTTCCGCGCGCGCGCGGGCTCGCGTACAGCAGGGGATGACGAAGTGGCACTGTCCTCTTGGGCAGCACACCCGGAGGATGAACGAAATTAAGTTTTCACGCCAAATATGGTGCGAATTCCCTTGGCGGTACGGTAAGCTCCAATACTAACACTAAAACCTAACCTATGAAATCACCCGCTCCGCACCCGAACCCACCCTAACCCCCAAACTAACCCTACCCGTCCCAGGCTGGTGAGCTTACTATTGCTAAACCTTTAACTATTGCTAAATTGAAGATTCTTCTGAACAGACACAGAACCTGTACAGTACACACTTGTAGACTTACATACGATTACATTTTTTTGCAAACCCCGTTTGATAAGCGGCTGAAACGTCTGTGCCAGGCTGTGCCGTGGAGCTGCCGGTTGCTTTGCCGTTGCTTTGCCGTGGAGCTTTTGGCTGGCCGCTACGCACTTCCCGGTTTTTGCGCACGTCAGGTCTTCATCTCAGCTTAATATGAGCGTCCTTCCTGCAAGATTTCGGCTCCAATATCCTTCAAACTAGGCTCAACAATCTGCATGCAATTCCAAGCAGCAGAAGGTTGGTATTCGGCACTGCCATGGTTTCTTTCGGTAATACTGCCATTGGTAACATTGCAACTTCTATACTAGTTCAGGGGAGATGGTGCAGCTGAGAATGTGGCTTAAAGTTAGAATCCTTCGGCCCACCATATAGGATCTCTACAAGTACTGGCAGCCGAGAATCAATTTGACGTCTGGTCCTCCGCCAGCTCCACGGTGCGTGCTTCTTGAGCTCAGCCGTTGTTGTCACATCTTGCAGCTAATCTGTTCAGTTCGTTCATCTGTACCAGGTAAGATCACTCTCATGCACCACCGCCTTGCAATGGATGAGCTGTGTCTTATGGAAGTACATAATGCTGTTTTGGCATTTGGTTTGGGTCCAATGAATTCCTTGTTCATATTACTTTTTCCCAAAAAAACAGCCTCCTCTCTAGCCATTTTGAAGGGGCTGGAGATGACTCATGTTCTGAATCAGTTCTGATCAGCTGCCTCCTTGCCTGGTTTCTCTATGAGTGTAGTGACCTTGTATCAAGCAGGCACAGATTCACCAGTTCACAGTAGACCAGAGCAGTGAGGAGAGTTACTTTATAGCCTGGGGCGAAGTAACCTCATCATACCACCACTCTCAAGTTTCTGAAGGATCCCATTGCCAGATCTCTTGATGATAGAACTAGCAATGCTTACCGGCGTTTTTTCTGGTTCATGTCTCCTTGAATCCCCAAACATGCAAGAGAATATTCCTTATTGTCCCTCAACATTTGTCCACCTCCCATGCAGCTGATGTGAGACTTTTTGGTACCTTTCCTTAAGCCAAGGAATATGGGCTTCCACTTGCTTTCTAGAGGCTGCCAGCTGCAACACTGCGCTCAAAGATTAACAACATTCAGTGGTTCACTGCGCTTTCTACACTTAGTCAGTAGGTGAGCCTCAATGTTTCCAGACTCTGATCCCAAATTCAAATATTCAGATTGTTTATGTAGAGCATTCTAGCTACTTTGCTGAGTATTCGCTAAGTACGCGTTTCAGTGCCACTGAGAGATAATTCAGCAGCCGCCAAGTTGCAGCCTTGTTCAGATGCACGCAAACAGAGTCAATCCAGACTCAGCTTGGATATCGAATCAGCTCTCCTGTCCTAGAACATTCTCACAAGGAACTGGAAAATAGCAAACTTTTTTGCATAATGAAGAGGGACTCTGTGCAGATTGCAGCAGACTATTGGAATCGCGTTTGACATAGACGGGGTTCTCTTGCGGGGTAAAACACCAATCGAAGGGGCCTCCGCGGCTCTGAAACAGCTGCATGGGACGGGTCCTGGGGATCAAGACGGCAAGACCAAGGCAGGTAAACTCGATGTTTGGGAGAAGCCAAGCTTGAATTCCTGATTTTCCTCGACTGTGATTCAAACCCCGATTTGTTAGAGGGGTCCCGTTTTGTCAGCACGAACCTTACCATCAAAATGGAGACGACTTGAAGGAACTGGCAGCCGTGCATGAAGCAATCCAGAGCAAACATGAGAAGAACGGGTGTCATATCAGTGAAGGATCAAACATACTATCTCATACGATTCAAGTTGACCTTGCTTGAAAGTTTGTGTTTAGAGGCCCGTTACTTGCCCCTCTCGTGCTGTGGACCAACCTGAATCTGCGACCTCCCTAACATTGAACAGATCATTTGCTATTTTCCTCCACAGGCCAGGCCCTCATCCCCCATGTCTATCTTACTAACGGTGAGGAACTTGTTTTGTTGTAGCACCTTCTAACTTGGTTCTTGCATCGTTGATGTGGCGAGCCGAATCACTTGTGGAACAACTTCAAAGTTTTGGCGATAGTAGCTCCCGAAATTCAGAAGATGGAAGCAAAACTCTAGTTTCACACCCTCAGGTCCAATAGCATGAGTTTGAGTACTTCTTAAGCGGTCCTGAGCTTCTTCCGCCCACTGATGAACCTGCTTAGAGTCAAATCTATTGCTTGTAACCTCTATTCTAGTCTTGTAGTAAGCAACTTATGAAAGCTTTTTTTATCTTCGAGCGAAGCATTCACTTTGCCTTTCTGATCGAGATGGAATAACGAAGCCTGCCTCTGAAGACCGGCGCTGGCAACTAATGTAGACTCTTCACCTCGTCACAGGGGGCGGCGTGACGGAAGCGGCCAAGGCGGAGGAGCTTGCTTCGCTCCTGGACGTCCCCGTCTCAGAAGAACAGGTACGGCTAGAAATGGAGTGTCCTTCCCCTGAATAGCATGCGCAGTTGGAAGCATCTTGTCAAGAAACGGGTAAACCCAGATCTGCTCGACTTTGGGTAGAGCGCGAAGTAATTCGACAGCTCTGCGTGAGCCTTCTGGGATGTTGTCACCAACGCTTGTGATCTGAGTGCCCGCACTCGTGGATTGCGTGCTGATTTCTCATGCGGCACGTAGCCGTTTCAAGGGTGATTCTGATCCAGGAGCAGTGCTTTGGAGACGCCAGTTCTGCACGTGCTATCCTCGTCGTAAACCTGATGTCTACGTCGCTCTGCAGGTCATTCTTGGTCATACCCCGTTCAAAAATTATGTCGACAGGTGAGGACATTCGACGGAAAGGACGGCCTCGCTCATCTTGCGCATAACCTCTGCTGTACTGCTCGCTTCGTTCCATTTTTCATGTCGTGAACCTCAACACTAGGCCAGATAGTCAAAGCCGAGCCTTTGTCTTTGCTGTAAGCGTCATTCTGGCCTGCAATCCGACCGTCCGTCACAATAAACCCCGGGGAAGCTCGCGAGCCTGGCTGTCGAGAGACACGAGAAGACTGCCGGAGCCGCATGCTGCTTCGACTGAGAACACGAAACGATCAGGAAGTTCTTTCCGGACGTCGCTCAGAGGCGAAGTTCTGAACCCTCATCACAACCAGGACGGATGCGGCAGTTCTTCCGCAGGTCGTTGGTCCACTCACGTTCATAGTACCAACTTTTGAGGAGGAAAAACTGGACACCACGTGATGCCTTGATTATCGAGCATTCAACTACTCGGCCCCCGACACCTGCTTCTTCCAACGGTTCCTTGCCCGGTTGTAGGTAGAGTCCTGAGATGTGCTGAGGTCGCTCTTTTGTTATACAGGTATCGAGATCAGCGGGTGCTCTCCGTCGGGAAGGGCGACACGAAGAAAGTCATGGAGGCATACGGATTCCGGTGAGGAAGGAACCGGCGTCCACTTTGAAGTCGTTCTTTTAATAACGTGGACTTCTGATTGCAGACGAACCATTGCTGCGCTTGGCATTGTAAGAAGCGTCGGTTCGGGCCTTTATCACGAGATTGCTATTACGAACACGACGTGGCAATTCGACGAGACAGCCAACCAAACCGTTTGTGATTCGGCACCCGACTTATTTGGAATTAGGTGCAACTATCTAGTTGTGCCATGCGTTTTCTATATAATTCAGGCAGCCGAGGGATTGATTGATACCCCGTTCAGGCGTCACCGCACCTGAGTGAAGTAGATGTTGTATCTCGGTATGGCCCAGTGACCCCGTGTGACGTTGTTATTCTAGCATAAAGCCCGGCAAGCGTTTTCTTCGTCGGCTTAACCAGCCACTTTGCTCACCTACTAAGCTGCCAATTGATCAGCGAAAGGGAAACGGGCACAAAACCAAATTTTACTCCTGCAACTCAAGAGAGTCTCGCTTGACCAAGCGCTGACGAAGTAAGTTTAACACCGGTTTGTCCCTGTGCCAGGCATGTTGTCCCAATGGAGGAGTACGTTCACGAGTTTCCCGACATCGATCCGCTCGCCCCCTATGGCCCTTCCGCCCGGCAGACGGAAGCGCGGAACCCGCCCGACCTCCCACCAGAACACCGAATCGCCGCGGTGTTCGTAGTCAGCGACCCCGTCAACTGGGGCCGCGACATACAGGCGAGATCTGACGTACAAAAATCCGCTTCATTGTCTGGTGATCAAAGATGATTATCTACTGACATCGAGGGCGTGAGTCATCAGACTTGTTGGCAATGAAATGATGTTCCAACGTTCAAATCGATTATTTGCATCCCGAAGCGGGCTTTCGTAGACCTGGGAGCTTTACTGAGAGCGCTCCGCTGATGAGACACAGCTTGACCAGCACAAGAACAAAGCATGACAGCCGCAAACGCCTTGCAAGTCGGTCTTAACCACTTGTCCCCCGTTTCCCAGGTCTTATGCGACGTCCTGCGATCCGGCGGTTTCCCCGGTCATGCCGACACACCGCACCCTCCCCAAGTTCCCCTCTTCCTAGCAGCCGACGATTTTGAGTACCAAGTCAGTGAGCTGGCTTTCAACATGTGAACTGACAGTCGTTTTGTTGCCTCGTCTTGCAATGCGCATGTAACGTCCCAGGGTGCCCAAGCGCCCTGCTTCTTTCGATGATGCGCTTTGTTGATAGTTGGCAGTGCTTGCTTCATGCAAGAGCTGCTTGAGTCTGCTCATCCGTCTCGAACCTCCAATCCGGTAAACACGGCCAAATCCAAGAGAGTGCGCATTCTCATGCATCTCAAATCCTTAAGCAGAGTTTGTCGTCTCTGACCTGATCTTCCTTGGTAGCCCGAGCCCTTTTTTCGAGAGTCACAGAAAAATGATTGGTCCTTGATCCTCACAAGAAAACCAGAGTTGCTGCTTTCTCACCCTGTTTTGGTTGCTTTGCATGTAGGCCATGTTTCCAGTCCCGAGATTCGGCATGGGCGCTTTCCGGATAGCGCTCGAAAGCCTATTTAACAGGTGCGTCGATCTCAGTTCTTTCATGAGTCGCCTTTTGTTCAACCGATATTCTTCAGAGCGTTAGCCAACTAAAGAACTCGCCGTTGGCCGGCGGAAATACTCCTTAGCTTTGCCGTCGACTAGGCCAAATTTCGCTTAGCAACAACGCGGCTGTTAGTCCAAGATGATCATACCAAGCCTCGAGACAGACGTCGTCCTTATGTGTATACTGTCTGCAATTTTACAGTCGGATGATGCATTCTCGTGCAGGCCGAAAGTACTGGACCTTTCTTTTGGTCTCGTATAAAGTAGAAGTCCGAAAAAGGAAGGTTTATATCGCAGGTTATATCACAAACCCCTCTCCCACGTCGCCTACGGCAAGCCTAGCCCCGAGCCGTATCGTTTCGCTCTCGAAGCCCTTCGGAAGCAGCACGCGCAGCTCTGCCGGCCGGCGGATCCGAGCGCCACTGTTTCGTTCGACCGAGTCTACATGGTTGGCGATAACCCCAAAACGGACGTCCGAGGAGCGCTCAATGTAAGTTCGCAACGTCCGGCGCGAGTCATGGAGTGCTTTGTGATGCTCTGTGTGCCAACTCGCCTATGGCCTTGGAAGTGTTGGCGGCAGTCCTCAAGAGCTGCCTCCCTTTCCGACTTTGGTTTGATCCAGGACGTATTGCAAACACTAGATTGGAAAATCGACGCCATAGAACTCCCTTAGTTTTCCGTTACAGGCAGGGCACCCTTGGAGGCCCATCCTCACCCGCACAGGGGTGTACCGGGGAAATCATCGCGTGTACAAAAGCCCAGGGGACGGCCCGGGAGAAAGCGGCCCCCACTCTTTTGAAACACCGGTACGTGATTCTAGTGCTTAAGGTGCGCTCAGTGTTTGGTTTTATGGAGAATGAGAACGTGCTTTCTGCTGTGCGCATTCCTGTGCACGTTCAGTCACTGACTTCGGCTCGCTGTTTCGGGATCCTTCTTGGTCATCGACGGTGTTTTTTTGACTTGAATCCATGCGAGTCCTCCTTGAACCCCAACTCAATAGCCGTTGGTTTACTAGGGTCAATCTCAACGGAAGTCTATGCAAGGTTCACCTGCAGCCCGTCAAGATGGCGAGCGAGTCCAGGCGCGAAACGGGTCTAGATAGCAGCTTTGCACCATGCAAGAGTCAAGATCAGTGGGTGTCTCAGATAAGGATCAAAATTCGGTTCTTCGTCAGCAGCAGCGAGCGCCTCCTGCTTTTTGACAGATGAGGGGCTTTTTGAAAAATTATTTCTTCACTCAGGACGAACCCACGCTTTTCGATTGCTGATGCTTGTTCTCATTTGGGTGCAGGTCATGTCTACCGTATCGGAAGCAGTCGGATTCATACTAGCAGAGTCGCAAATGCAGCCTCGATAGGTCACCCGTTACAAATCGAAACAATCAGTAGTACAATTGACTGGCTTTTATACGTTTCTATCAATTGCTTCCAGAAGCTACACACCTGAGACATGCTTCGCAAACTGCATCGCTTGGTGATGTGCCGGCATGCAAAGTAACTTGCAAACGGGTTGACTCTCACGACCGGCCACGAGTAATGTTCCCTTTCCCAATGTTAAGTAACCAATTACTAGCGTTTGCGTCCGACTTTGCATGTGCTTGCTTAATCATGCCAATGGCTGTTACTTTGATATTGTGCGGATGAACGTTATCGTTCAGCGGGGTTTCTTTCTCCTTTGGCCAAGGCGACCTAGGCCAGCAGATTGCATCGATCCGGCCCCTGCAGCCATAGCAAAGCGATAACTTCATTTGCATTTTTTGGATTACCTGGAGTGCAACCTTGGTACTATCAAAGATCCGCACTTCTGTGTAGTTCAGACATTCGGAATCGTTGTGACGCTGGCATTTCCTTGAAGCATGGTGGTGACGTCAATGAGATCACCGCTACCCTACTACAGACAGGTACGCGAAAAATCTTGCACTTCAATAAGTAGCTAGAACCGGCCGTTTTCATCTCCTCAGGCTGCCGGCCTGCAGAGCCTGCCGCGCGCGGCCCCCGCGGCCAGGTCGAGCGCGGCCGCCTGTGCGGCGGCGGCGGCGGCGGCGAGGGTTTGAAGGTTTGGACCGAGTGCATGAGTGCCCTGGGACACGTCTGAACCGTACGATGCAATGTGAGTAAGTTTGTCAAAGGCTTCACGACCAACCGTTCAATCGTGCCGGGCATCGGACGGTTCCGAGTTCAAGTTCCACAAAGATGATCTGACTCTGAGATCATGGGAAGCAAGAGATGCAGATGTCAATATCGCCACCCCTAGATGGCCTCTCGGCTAGGGTTCCAGCTTCGTCGGACGGCCATCCTGGACTGGGAGAATTGGTGGAGCGCACACAGGAGCAGCGCTCAGAGAGAATCAGGAACGCGCCTGAGGTCCTGGCCAATCCTTCGTCTTCAGAGCAATCAATTGTATTCCCCTGAAGGGATCGGCCTCCTCAATTTTGTGCAGTGTGCAATTTTCTGAGACATTTTATAACAATTGGAAGGAACACCTGCAGGCCAGCATGGTGAGTCCGTGCCGTTCTTATCATCAGCCATTCAATGCAACTTCGACCTATGCTTGTGAGATCTTCTTTCCAAATGATTGGCTTCCTTTTCACGTACGTCACCCTGACCTTCTGCAATCTGCTTCCGCAGATTCAATTTGTCTTGCTCATTAGCCGGCAGGGGAAGGTGCGGCTGACAAAATGGTACTCACCGTACACCCAAAAGGAGCGTGCTAAGGTGGGCGCACGAAGCCAACAACTTCCAAACTCAAACATAAGAATCAGGAATGACACTGCTCTTTAGATCTTGTGATCAGCTCCGACCCGTGCCTGCGATCAAGGTGCACAGCGGTTAGCCGAGCTACAATTAGGGTTTCATTCATTGCTCCTGGTGCTGGCCCCTCCTAGTGCCTCGTTCGATCCGGTTTCGTTCGGTGTAAGTACGGCGTCCATATGTGCAGCAAGACTTGCACTTTGACTAGATTGTCTTCCGATGGCGGAAGGCATGTAATGACACGCAGTTTGAGAGTGGGAGGCTTGAGCAGGAAGGACCTCCATGCCAGCTGGTTGTCAAGCTGTGTTTTGAAGGCGGAATACTGAGCTTTACAATCGATCACCTGGAAGCAGATTCAACAACCCTTACTGCCCTGAATTGGACAAGCACTGCGCCTGGGATGGACGGAGTCCTCAAATTGTCATGCTCTGACTTTTCAGAGTTTCTTGCAGGCGATCAGAGAGATCAGCTCTTCTGTCCTGAGTAGAGGTGCAAAGCTGTGCAACATCGTTGAATGGAAGGATAAGAGGGTCGTTTACAAGCGGTAAGCAACTTTCCCCCTCCAGTCTGTGCAAACGAGAGCTCAATTGGTGCACTTCTGATGGAACTTGCCGTCCAGCCAAGCACGCTGGCTTTGATAATCTGTTTTTTGGAAGCACCGCTGTCTGAGAGGAGAAATCATGGAGGGATTACACTGAAGATGGATATGTCAGAGCACACTGTGAGGTGAAGAAAGTCCTAGGAAATTGGAACAGGCCGGTTGGTTTAGCTTCGAATGCTTGACGTATGGTTGACCAAATACTTTCCTGCCGATAAGTTCTGGCAGCTTTCCAAGCTGAATCACCTACTTAGCCATAGCTACAATTTGTGCTGCGAGACCTAGCTCAGAGGCCTTGTTTGTCACTTCTGCAGGTATGCAAGTTTGTACTTCTGCATGTGCATCGACCCTTCGGACAACGAGTTGGCTACCCTCGAAACCATCCACCACTTTGTGGAGATCCTCGACCGATACTTTGGCAATGTGAGATGCATTTTCAGTGCCTGGCCCTCCAATTCCTGGCCCTTTAATTCGTTGTGCTTTTACGTCTGTTTAAACCTGGTTAATCCAACTTAAGACCTCTAACACAGTCGTCCTCTATGTCTTGGACCTCCTTCCCATCAGTTGGCTCATGACAGGATTGTCTCTTCCGGGTCTGGCTTTTTGCTTCCTGCTTCGCCTCTATTTTAAATCTTCCTTGTAAACATTTGCCTTTCAAGCTTGCAGGTTTGCGAGCTGGACCTGATCTTCAACTTCCATAAAGTAAGTTCCAGATCTTTCTGAGATTTATTGAAGCTGTTAACATTACAGACATTCGAACTGTTTGCAGAACACAGGTGCTGGCAAGTGTTACTCCCCTCTGTGCAAAGTCAAAGCAAAGTACGAATAAAAAGATTCGGTTCCCTCTTAATCGCATCTGATCTTCTCTACAGGCATACTTCATCCTTGATGAGGTACTTATGGCCGGGGAGCTTCAAGAATCGAGCAAAAAATCTGTAGCAAGGGTGATTGCTGCGCAAGTAAGTCGTCTCTTCAACGACCGAGAGGAATGACTGTATTCCGCTCTGCTTCGTTGTCTCTGACTGTTCTCATGTCGACCATACGGCGGCCGGATATGGGACTGAACTTTTTGAGGTATAGCTGACGTTCGACTTCATGAGACTTCTCCTTTTCACTAGTTTGGTCAAGGGCGTCTACATGTGAGTGACAAAGCAAGCAACGTGCTTGAAGGCTTCACGCTTGAGTCTCGACTCTTCGAATCTCATTGCGGGAATCTTACTGGCGTCACGAGGGGGCACATGATGAAAGCCCTCTAAAAGTGGATTTAGTGCCAATCTGCAGGATCAACTGGTGGAGAGTGCAAAGGAGCAGCAGGGATCTATCAGCAACATAATCAAGCAAGCAACGCAGGGTTAAGCAGTTGTTTACTTTGAACCTCTCGATTGGAAAAGGATAGTGGATACAAAGGCTCTTCCTTCTGAGAACATCAGCGCACGGTAGCGAACAGGCCCTTCTTGTACGATATTAAAATACTAGCAACAATCGATTTACCGATTGTTCAGAACGTTGCTCAGGCGTGCAGTGCACGCTCTGTCCGATCTGGTGCATCCTACCAATCAATTTCACTTGCCGGCAAAGAGGTACAACATTTCGAAGCACTAGCCACGGATTCTGAGATGCATGCCGAAGTCATCGTCCCCGTCTTGGTCGAAGATGGGGACAATCGAGCAGGCCTGAGCCTGCGAAATCGGCTCGTAGACGCTCGGCACAAGCCGTCCCTGCAAAATTAAGTGTATACAGTACTTGCAGAGCTAATGATGCATAATGCGATCAGGTCAGATCAAGGACGTACTTCAAATTTAAAGATTGAATTTCCCGACCACACAGTAACTATAGACTAGCTGTCGGATCTGGTACTGCATGATAGTGTTCGTCAACATAAAATAGAGTTTGGCAATATTGGTGATGGCCGAGGCGTTTGCATGAAATGACTGCGTGCTCATGCAGCCTGCCTGCGGCCGGACACAGTGAGTCACATCGGATGCACCAGCCTGGTTGAAGGAAGATACAATTGCATGATCGACCCGTCGACAAAATCATGTGCGGTCATGTATTGCTGGTGGCGCATGTGAAGTAGACATGGCTCTTCATGCGCCCATGGCGGCCGTCACCAGGCTATACTATGTAAGGCGAATTTGGATCCAAGGTCTTTTGGCGCAACCCAACTAGCAAGCTCCAAACGTGTCCGCTGCCCCAAATTGCATGAACAGTATGATAATCACCGAAAGGTGAAATAGACCATAGAACAATCAGGGCGGCCGCCATGCAGCTAGCGCATTGCATGATGTATGCATCACAACTTAATTCTCAACTTAATTCTCAGTGATCCGACAATCGGGAATTAGCTGCCACTTCAGCATGCAGCTCAAGCAAAGCAAGGACGTGCTACTTTCTATCTACCATCTCAGGGGCAAACATGATTGTCACATAATCGATGACATGCCAGAATCCTGAGCCAATGCATCAAAGCTGAATCAAAGTAACAAGAGTTTTACCACGGATAAACGTCTACGAAATAGAATCTCGAGAAGGGACTCAGGTCGAGCCTCCAACTTGCTTATCACGTTCTGTATCAACGTCTAGCCTATGCAAACGCTCCTCTTGTTAATCCTGAACTTTTTGACAATACTGATCCACCTTATCAGGAGTCAAGCTCGTATGAGCTTACTAATCAGTCCGCTGGGGTATCACCTCATATCCACCGAATGTCCACTGAATAATACTTCAAAATCTGTCTCTCCATCTCAACGCCGCATGCGCATCACATGAATACTCCTACAAAAGTTTACCTCATACCAACAAAAGCAAAGCTCCAAGTAGCGCTGCTGCAGCCACCAAGCCACTCGGCACATGGCTCGACGCTCCCCCCATGATCGTTTGCAACGACGGCTGGACACGTGCGGCTGCTCCCGTGCCCCTTGGTGCTTCCGACGGCGCAACGGCTGGCGGCGGGGTCTGCGCTGACGTCACTGTCGTGCTCAGAAGGCCGGAAAGCAAGGCAAGGGTCGAAGAAGGAACAGCGGGCTCGGGTGCAGGAACTGGTGCAGGGCCCGAGGCCGGGGCGGGGCCGGGAGCAGGGGCAGGGCCCGGAGCAGGGGCCGGGCCGGGAACTAGAAGGGGGGCCGGGGCGGGCACAGGATTGGGGGCCGGAACCGGAGCTGGACCCGCTGCTGGCGCAGGTGCCGGGACGCTCAATGGAGGGGGGGGAAAGGCAAATGGGGGCGGGTTCACAGGAGGGGGCTGCGAGACTGGGGCCGCTTTTGGGGGGACGGCGGGGGGCAGAGTTAGTGCTGGTGGAGGGGTTTGAGGGGCAGGGGAAGGTGCGGGGAAGAACGGGGTGGGCTTGGGGAGGGGGTTGGCGAGGGAGTTGGGGAGGGGTTGGCGAGGGGGTTGGGAGGGCCGTGGAGGGGAGCGGGGTTATGCGTCGGGGGTAGGGGCAGGGGGTCTGGGGTGGTGGTGGAAGAGTAGGAGGTGGTGTTACGAGGGGAGGAGAAAGGAGGGGCCAGTTG